AATTGATCGACCAATCAGTATTCCAGATGGTGCAGTTAGTTTCGGGTATGTTTTTTAAACGTACGCAATACGATCACGAAACGTGTTACGTTTAAAGTACGTGTGTGAAACTGACACGTGCTCGAGCCCGGGTCGGAATTTTAATCCTACTTTAAGTCTTATTTAGTTCTGCGTTAAGTGCTCGAAGGTCTTCTATTGTACTCCTTTGGTTTCCACAACTTCCGAGGAAGTTAGCGGCGGTTTTCTCCATTTGAGGACTTGATGGAGAACTAAAGTTTAGACTCTGAAGAACCTAAATTTTCTTCGTAGCATTAAATGAGTACTGATTGCTTTGATACAAGTAGGAACTTATTTCCGTTTACTCCGTTTGAGGACTTAACGTGGAATTGAAAACGTCGAGTCGGTACCCGGGGTATTTCTTTAGGTTTACGTATCTCAAGCGATTAAAGTGACGATAAATTTTGCTTCAAGCAGAAGTAACGGAGATTTTTGATTGAATGTATACTGATTGGTTTGTCAATTTCCCTACTAACTCAAGTCTTATCGGTTTTCCATGTGCCGTTCGCCTTTCGCATGATGATGGGTTCCCTCCGTCGAGGTGTTCAGGAAGAAAATCGTCAACGTTCGAAGTGACGCGCTGTTTTATTCATTCTTTCGAAAATGCCGTTTACACGTGAGATTGCGTCGGGGAATCCTGCGACAAAAGGAAAACCAAAGGAAAAGCCATTTTCTACTTCCCCTTCGGTTTAATGTCATTTGTATCACCGCAGTCGGCATCGAGCCACTCGAATCACAATAGCGTCGGCTCAATGGCGGAGCTTTTTAACTCTGCCGCCGACGATTCTCGTAGATGCCCTCGGCGGCCGACAAAAGTACACGTTTTGATTTAGTGACCGCAATAATGGTCGAGAATGACTGTTGGCAAACCATGTGTCCTTGCCTCGAAAAGGGTCCCGATGCAGTCGTGAAGATTCTTTATCTGCGGCAACTAGTTCGAAACCTTTTCTACCTGCAAGTGCTCCAAACGCGGAGCAGCGTAGGGTTTATTGCTTTCGAACGCAACTCGAACGTAGGTTGATTTATGTGTCAAATATATGCGACTACATTGCACAACATCGTTCAAATGTACTTCTCATGGAAACAAGCTGGCGTAATTAAAAATCCGTCTATAATTAGCTCCGAAAAATTTTTTATTCGGTATTAAGCGACACCGTGGACTATTGGAAACAATCGAAATTCCAGGAACTGTAAATTTCGTAATAACAGCGGTAATAAAACGCTTCGAAATTGCATTTTGCAGCTTCGAGTCTTTTTAATTTCTAGATATATTTTGAACATTAAGCTTCCTTGTTTCTTATCGTGTTACAAGCAGATATCAAGAAGCGTCAAGTGTTCAGATTTCTGCCGAAGTTTGTCAAGTTCAGCGAATGAAAAATCGCATTCTTCGAGTATTAACTCTAGTTAGCCGTAATTATTTTCGAGTCTTTAATTCGCCAGATTACGGTCCGTGAAATCGCTTAACTTTGTCACCTTGTCATTTTCATTCTAATTATTATTTTTAAGCTTGTAGAAATGTGGAAATTGGAAATGCACAGAGTCCGAATAGAATGTTTATGATATCAGGTCGAGAAAATGATTTGAGTTTGGAACGAAACTTATTATAAAAAAAGGGCGTTTTCACACACAGAAAAAAATGCTTAACTGATCTTGCTATGATTTAAGGAAAAGTATTGTTCGTTTGTTATAGCGGATGTTTGATACTTTAGGGAAAACATAAAATATGTCATATGAAAACGAGAAAATCGAGAAACGTTTAAACGGTCCATTAGACCGGAATGCGGTGAGTTAGAGTTAACGAGGGTAACCTGGGGTAGGGTTTTGTCGAGGCGCGCGGACTGAGTAACTTCCGCCTGCAGCAGAGGTGAAACCAAGCTACCCCAAGAAGAATATCAGTGTCACGATGGAAAAGCCGAGAGTAGGACGCTGGGCGGTCGAGAAGAAGAAGGACGAAAGAGACAAGACACCGGGATGCGGCCAGCGATACGTCATATATTTCCAGGTTGGTTTAAAAATTACTTATTGTACAAGATGTGTTCGATTTTAACGGACGTTTAAAAAATTTTAATGAGAATGGAGGAGATTCTCGAGTCGAATATTAAATCGATATTTTCTCATAGTTAATTACTATTTAATGAGTAGTCGTATTTTTATGAATAGTCTCTGACTATTCGTCGATTTGTACTTATTTATTCGAGAAATGTTGATCTAAACAGCTGATTAACCATGTCTGTGAATATGAACGCGTAATTAATTATGTTGTCAATCAAAGATTGTTAGTATTTTACAACTATGAATACTCGTCTTAGATTCTAATGTAAATCTCGCATGTAGTGCGACTTGTGCGTCTAATAATGCTTCTTGAGTCGCATTTTCCACCTTGTTGGCGTTTGCCAATATCTTCTTTCCTCTTCTGTTGATTATTTTTATTATATCAAATCTAAATTAAATCTCTATTTATAAACAGTATAATTAGACACACAATTGCTACTTTACAATTCCTTCCTCTTCACTTCTTTTGAATTTCCAAGTTTTACCGAACTATTAAATGTTATGGAACATAAAAGAGAAAATAATGTGAAAATTATAATGAATGAAGACAAATTTTTAATTTTATTTATTTATCCGTTTTCTCATTTATGCAAACAAACATTTGTATTAAATTTAGCGTATATGAAAGTCTCGCTCTTTACTAACCTCTTGTTGGTAAATTTTGAATCGAAACAGAATAGATGATAACACGATGATTTTTATGAAACTATACACACAAGTGTATAGTTTCATAAAAATGTCTAATATGCTTCATTGTATGTATGTGTAAATATTGATAAAATGTCGAAAAAATTGTAAATTATAAAATTAATGTTATATGATACATTAAATGTGCGTTTAGATGTTTATAGATAGATTTTTATATCAGATAGTTAACAATGGTCGATAAGATCAAAATCACTTCAATTACTTCTGGGCCTTTCGCTAAGTTCTTTTGAAAAATTTACCTCAAGTTGGCAATTTTTATTTTCATCTCATCGGTGGGATTAATAACCAAAATCAATAACAAGATAAGATAAACATTGTCTCAGACTTGGATAAATTTTTTAAACTATAAGCAGGACTTTAAGAGTGCCGAGATAATTGAAGAAAGGTGACTTTATCGACTGTTTCTTAGTTACCCTTACTCAGTAAAATATGAATATCTTAATATTTAGTTAATAAAATAAATTATTTTCAATTTATAATTCGCAATTATTTCGATGATTTATCAATATGTATAATAAAATATGTTTGATATTTTTATGAAACTATATTTTTGTAGTTATCATCTATGCCAATTTAAACCAGATTTACCAACTACGGGTTAGTAAGTAACGAACTTTCCTGTATACGATAAATTTAATAAAAATTACTGAGTAAATAAAATTACAAATTTATATTATTATATATTCACGATTTTCTTAGTATCTTTTTGTTTTGATGGCGTGCATATCAATAGGATTTGGAGATTTAGAAGTAAAGAGAAGGGAGCAATATATATATATTTTATATGCATGGTATTGTATTTTATGTATAATGTTATTGTAATAAATTATATTTTGTATTTTATGTTATGTGTATCTTATTACAATATACACATACTACTGTGTATGTTAAATTAACACATATATTTATATGTATTGAATATATAGATATATTAGTTTATATCGCACTGTACTGAGTTATTTTATTATTATTATTGTCATTATAATATTTAATTTGTAAATATGTACATTGAATAAATACTTTTATATCATTCAAACATGAATTTATTCTATTCCCCTGCCTATTATTCTTTTAATTAATATCATTAGTTTAATTGTTAGAAAAATAAAATAAAATATTTACAAATATCGTGCTATTTCTTCGTTTATTCCGTTGCGCTCTTCGGTTTTTGACGCTTTCGTATCCGGAGAACACGATGAGCGAAGAGGTAGTCGGAATTTCGATCGGGAAATCCGACGGTTGCACTTCTCGGTTTTTGACGCTTTCGCATCCGGAGAACATGATGAGCAAAGAAGTAGTCGGAATTTCAAACGGGAAATCGGAACGGTTGCGCTGCCCGATTTTTGACGCTATCGTATCCGGAGAACATGAAGAGCGAAGAGGTAGTCGGAATTTCGAGCGGGAAATTCGAACGGTCACGCTTCCTGATTTTAACGCTTTCGTATTCGGGGAACATGATGAGCGAAGAGGTAGTCGGAATTTCGAGCGGGAAATCCGAACGGTGGCGCTTCCCGATTTTGACGCTTTCGTATTCGGGGAACATGATGAGCGAAGAGGTATTCGGAATTTCGAGCGGGAAATCCGAACGGTGGCGCTTCCCGATTTTGACGCTTTCGTATCCGGGGAACATGATGAGCGAAGAGGTAGTCGGAATTTCGAGCGGGAAATTTGAAAATTTACGAATCATTCCTTCTTTTTCCGATTTTTAACATTTTGGTAGCAGGGAAATATATAATGAGCGTAAAAGTAATTGGAGTTACGAGCAGGAAATTTGTAGATCACGTCTTTCAAGTATTAGGAATACACAGTGAGTGGGAAAGTGATATAAATAAAAAAACGTTAAGGTAGATAAAAATTAAATTTTATTCTTTCTCATATTTTAATACAATGCAATATATAATATGATGTAACATATAAATTCTATTGTAACACATATAAGTAACACAATAAGATAAAATATACAATATAATATTGTATAATTTATAATATAATACTATTTAAGGTCGATATTCATAGTTCGGAATTATTTCTATTTTCGTATTAAGAATCTAATAAATAAATCAATTGGAGATTTTTATTTATAAATTGCTATTTCGTTGTTTGATTCAATATTGTTAGTACAAAATAAGCGCAGAATGAAAAATAATCAGAGATTTGTGAAGAGATTGTAATAATTATTTGTCAAATAATAACAAACTATGAATACTGGCCTTATACAATGTATAACAATATATAATATATTTTGATACGATTTAATGTAACATAATTGCACTAATAATAAGTAATGAGATAAATATCTCTGAAAAGAATAAACATCTTCAAAGTCGCAAAATATATAAGAATATTTAAAAATTTTTAGATAATAGTTATACGTGTAGTATATGTGTAGTATACGTGTAGTATACGCGTGTCGTTCAATTGATCGTTTTTATGACTTACCATCTTCACGTCTCTTCTTGTCATTCATCAATTGAGTTTGTCACTTACCTTATGAGACTGATATCATTTGCGCTGTTTTTAAGGATTCATGGCACCATCTCGTGTTTTTTCTCGGAATTAATCAGTCTGCAGTTGTCTGTTGGCGCCATCTTGCGCCTCTCCTCGGAATAATTGAGGTACGAATTTACCTACCTGCTGCCTGCTGCAGGTACTATCTCGTATTGACCTTACAGAACCGCTCGATTTGCCAAAGGCTGCTGGCGTCATCTCGCGTTATTTTCGAAACTAATATATATCTCGCAATATCTCAATAACATTTAAACTAATTCCATATGTTTGATCATAATAATGACAAGGGAAACAGGAGACGGTCTTTGTGAAAGATCCGTCTGTGGCACGTAGATAAAGTCCATTGTGCCTCATATTATCTATATTAGGAAAACCAGATTAATTTATAGGCTAAGACAACTTGGATATTCTTTCATGAGCGAATATCTTAAAAAATGTGAGATATACAAGAAAATATGTCGCATAAAAATTTTATTTGATATATTTCATAGATTTCGCGATTGGATTTTTCAAAATACCTTCGCCTTTTGTTATTATTTTTCCAAACTGCCACGTCATAACTCTTATAAGAATATTGAGTAAAGAATTCTTTGCTAAACATTTCCTTTGCAAATCGTAATCGAACGATCAATTACTTAAATCTCTATTTAAAGCCAAGTACCAAAGTAACATAGAATCAACACATATTGTTAACTATAATACAGAGAATAACTATAATATAGAATACTAACATCACGTAAGTTTATAATGATTCTATCGATGATTCTATCAATCTTTATTGCTATATGATTGTTATACGCGATGTCTCGCAACAAGCATTTAATGCAGCGAATAAATTTTCTCTATTGTATCTGTATATATTAATACCGCTCGGTCCGTATAATTATAGAAAATATTTTTCGAACACCGGAGTCGGTGAGACCATTTTGTACTTCTAAATGAACCAAGTAACAAAATATAAACACGTAGAAGTGTTACTCGTGTTAAATTATAAATCGCAATAATTTGGAAAAACTCTTCCGTTCTCTCTCCTATTTTCATCTCCGACATTAATTTTGTTAAAACGCAGATATATGAAATAAACACTGGAAAATCTTTTTACGGGAGTCTGCATAGGGAATGTACGTCATTAATTGATGATTAATACAAAATACGTTCGCGCTACCACGGTCTCCATACCGTATTGCGCTCCTCCACGCGTTCGACGTCGATTTCTTCATCGTCCTCGGCGTTAATGTCCTGCGAAGTACACGATTTGTTCCTTGTCGTTGTTGCGGTCGCCGTTGATCTCTGGTCCTTCAGGTTTCTCAGTTTGATGTTGCAATTCGCTGTTACTTTCTTCTTGTCGTTAACGGGCGACATCGAGGCTTCGCACTGAGGAAGCGTGGAAACGACTGTCGTCGACACGCTGGTATCGGCAACTTCTTCGATATCCTTATTATCGCCGCGAGATGTGGCAGTAATCGGCGAAACGTTTGCACGATCTCCCACCGAGTCGGTTTCGCTCGAGACGACGCATGATGACGCGTTGCTAGCGGTGCGATTCGTCGGGCTAGGTGATAAGAGCTGGATTTTCAGCTGAAAATGAAAAAGAAACATTTTCGGTCATTATTCGCCGATTGTATAATAATAGTCCGTGACCATAAATCTGTGCGACTGGCGCGCAATTCTCGAATCGAAATGATGAATAATCCGTTTCCATCTTGAACGATAGAAAATATGAGATCTCTAATTGTGGACTAAATAATCAAATTTCTCTTGTGAAAAACCCAACAATATTATACAGGCCACTGTGTTTCTTTAATGTGACACTCACTGCCGTTTTCTCCATACTGAAGTTCAAAGGACTTGTCGCAGAATTACGAGGTGTTAGATTATCTCGATATTCTACCTGTGCATAATCTTCTCTCAGTTTCAGTGAACAACACAATTAATATCGCGTGCGCGGGCTGCAAATAAAGTATGTGCGCTGATAAAATGTTACATAATCTAAAATTAAAAATTAATAGCTGGATGGATAGAGGTAAAAGGATAAACTTCTTTCCGTATCTTTCTTCTTACTAGATTATTTTTACTGTTACTGGAAAGTTCAATAGTAATCGGGGATGCAAGCGGGATGAAGAGGGAGGAATTGTGAGAACAAAAGTAGCAGTTGTGTGCCCGATAATTCTACGTATTTGAGACAATAACAATGACAGCGAAAGGAGCCACAACAGAGCAGATTCAAGACGGGACTCGAGGAATAATTATTGGACGTATAAAATACGTATTCACGAGACTCACGCCAGATTCTAAGGCCGGTATTAATAGTCGTAAGTTATTTGCGGCCGACTGAGAGAGAAATTAATTACAGATACGTGCTCACCGACCGTTACTTGTCATATTAAATAAGTGCGGGTACAGATTGAGTCAGAGGTCGGAGCTATGATAATTCATCGAGCGATAACGGACTATGAATGCCGGCGTAAATTTCGACTAGGTTATCTCCTTATTCGCCGAGCGTCCGTTAAGATATGTCCTATATAATGAGCGATTTTTACACACCTGGAAGTACACGATATATCGCTTCCCGCATTCCGGCGTCCTGCGTCCTTTTCGACTGACCCAATATTTGCTTATCGCGCATACTCTATCTGCAGTTAAGCATGTTAGACAATTAATACACACATCTCGCTTGTTGTAATTCAGCATGAGGATAACATTCAGGGACGTGGAGTATATCGAGACGGTCGAACACACTCGACAATTCGGAAACAAGTCCTTGAAGCCTCAACCGTGGAGAAAACGGCGGTGAGTAACCGCAGCGTCAAACAGGCATCCAACGGCCCATCGAAAGTAACGTTTTGCAGGACGTAATTCATCATCGTTACATATTTCATAAACGACAATCAGCAACGACCAAGCGTGCCGCAATTAAAGGCTCCGTTTCGCGCGGCCGAACGGAAGAAGTGCCGCTGAATCAATAAAATTTCAAGTGCCATTATAACTACGCCGCAAATACAAGTGTATTTTTACATGCACAAACGTTTAAAGATGGCACATTTGATCGATGCTCATTTTACACGTCTCTTAGGTTACGTCATTTAAAACGTTTAATCGTGTTAAATCATAAATTCTAAGTTAACGCATCCGATCGTATTAATGACGCGATTTAAAACGGCGGGAAACATGCGAGAAAAATGAAAATAACACGCTTGGATTTGCAGTATACTATGTTATGTATTGTTTCAATAATTGAAGCAGTAATTAGTTATAACGACGTCGCTACTGAATCGAGAAGATTTACATTCCGATCATACGTGCTGTTGCGGACGTTCTATTGATTCAACAGCACTTTTTCATGTAGCAGTGACACGCGCCACTAGAATCGCGAGTAGCACCCTCACTTCCCCCCATCTTCGCCGTCAATATGTAATAATACGATAATTATGGAGCGTCGATTACCGATGGTGAATTAGATCGCCGGCTCGTTTGGAGGCCAGACGCGAGGTGCCTCGCCAGCCTCTCCGCGGCTTCACCCGATAAGGACGAGAGGAATCTGCAGGCTTCAGCGGCGCAATGCCCGAATCCGGACTGCCAGCGATTTTCGGCGGAGATCTCGTTGCCGCTGACCGCCGATAACCCGGAAGGTCGCGAGGCCTGCAGTCTCTGCAGATGACGGACCGTCAGCTCGAGCACGTCCGCCTTCTCCAGCTTGCTGATGTTCTCCCTCTCGGTCTGCGAACGGAACCCTCGTTGATAGATAAGAGCCTTGAGAAGAGCCTTTAGCGGAACGGCTGACTTCTACTTTCGTGACAGGCGTTTTCCACCCTCAATCTTCGCTTAAATTATTACTTCACTTTCTTTTTATTATACATTATCTACAGTAGTTTGTCATCGGTCACAAACAACGGAACGGTCGTTTAGTTTAAGACCCGAGATATCGCGCGATATTTCACCTTTTCGCTGCGACACGTTTCAACCAAAAGTGTTCGCTATATGTGGTACAGTATTCAATTGTGTGAGGCGGAATAATACAGTGGAGACAATTCTAAAGAAAGACTCCGGACGAGGTGCAGTAAATATATAACGTCCGCGAATGGCGAGTGATTTTCCACGATGTGCATCGTCCCGTACAGCACAAGTGTTCAAAAGACATCCCAGAGACGTCCCAGAAATGTTTGGTATTTCTGGAACGTTTCTAGGATGTCCTTCGAACATTTATACCGTATAGGACACGAGTGATGGGGCGATTTCGATTTTCAGAAAACCCAATCTTCTCCCTCGAAAAGTCGACTTTTCCAAACTGATGCTTTTTCCGTGAAATTTTTACACGAGTCGATTCTTTCAATAAAGGATCGATTTTCGGCCCGTTGACACGCTTATCCACCAATGTTATTTAACTGAGAAGCTAGTTTTCAGCGACGAACATATCCGTCGTGCCCAGCGAAAAGACGAAGACTTGAGGCATGAAGACACTTGTCCTCAACCGACGTAACATATCGCTCATCCTGCCAAGGTCCTCGGAAGATGGAATAGGATCGGCAGCCGACGATCGTTAAACGCTCGCTGTCGAGCGCGAGACGGGTGTCGGCCGGGACAATGACGCGCCGCACCGGGGAAATTAGCTCGGTGAAATGAACGGTGCCTTTCACGTTGATTCAGCGAATTACACGTGCAAGGTGGCGAGGATGGCGCGCGCCGGGTCTACCGTGCCGACAAATTAGCACCGGTGGCGAGGTGCGCGCACCGTACGATTCCACCGCTGAGGACCGACTCGAGTTAATGTGCGGGAAACGCGCGGCAATAACGCTTTTTTTTCTCTTTCTCTCTCTCTCTCTCTCTCGACGCGTCACGGCTCGGCCGATCGCGAAGGCTAATATTGAAGCTGTTAAAAAGGCACGGGGCCCGTATTTTCTCACCTCGTGTACACAGTCGGCGCTAAATACGAAATTTCCGCTCGAGAGCCGCTCGAAAGTCGTCGTTTTGTCGCGCTCGGTCACTCCTCGTCCACACGGTAAAAATACAAATTGTAGATCTCGCGGCTCGATAAGTGCCCCCTCCTCCCCCTCCCGGCACTCTCCCCCTCTTATCTCGCTGCTCCTTCGCGCGAAACAACTTTATCTATTAATTTCTTTTCTCCTTCTCGCGGCTCAACTTATTTACATCCGTTACACGAAGATCGCGTACGACATTATCGCCGTGGCATTTAGCGCGCGAGACACCGCCACCGTCGCTGCCGGGACGCGATAAATTGCGTTCATTGCGAGAGACTCGGATTAGACGGGGCTAGTATCGTGGGAGAGGGGAGGGGGGTATTTGAATATCACCTACGTGTCGCGCAAAGCGTTACTACGCGCATGACTACACACCGCGAATCGGCGTATATACGTGCCGTTCCGTTGACATTCGCCGTCGCACACCGCTGGGTTCCCACGCTCCGGGAACATTTAAAAGCAAAATCGCCTGCACGCGTAGCTGCGGCCCGAGAATGCGTTTCCTGCTAGGCGCGATCCGTAAAATTGCTGTCGGGCCGGCGGACGGACGGGCGGTAGCGCGAGGACGGACGCGCGGTATCATAAATAGAGCCCGGCGCGGTGTCGAGCAAGAAACCACACCACCGGCTTTCCTCCGAAGGTTCCGCTCGACACGCGGGGAAAAAGTGCACAGCACGTGCTCGTTGAACCAGACTATCGGCGTTCGAGGCTGCCGCCGCTGCCTTCGAAAACAATCGCGATCCCGTAAGTCCGGATCTGAAGCAGGCGCGATAAGCTCCTAGCCTTTTCCTCTCCGAGCGATCGAGTGTCACGTAATTCCTGGCGAAAGGTGTTTCAAAAGGCGCGATAACGCTTAAGGATGCGTCACCGGTCGGTGCCGTACTTTCAGCGCATCAGGGAGGCCACTCGCGAGTTTCGTATTCATCAAGTTATGTTCCTACACGTTGATCTCGGTGCTTAAATAATAAATGTTAATTCGATGCGATGTCGAGGTATACATATGTAAGATGAGTCACTTGAAATTGCCGTAAAAAGTAACTTAATGTATGTCGATTTTATAGACAAATTTTACGGACGGAAGTTAAATAGCTTGGGAGGGGAGGCTGTATTCTCGTCATCCAATTTCTTTTCGCGGAGGCGCTAAATTATGCGAAGGTCAACTTCAGTTTTCTATATAGAATCTGTATGGATTTATGGATGATATATCCTTAAATATTAAAAATTGCGACGTCTGATAGTGCAGGAAATAGCTTCTTGCGAGGATAACTTCTTGCTAGAAATTACGTTATAATTTAGTGTTTAAAGCAAAAGGCTAAAGGCGTGTACTATACTTACTCCGTAGATCCGGTCTAACGCTTAACCTGCAGATTTACCGGGTATAACTTTTAGCGTTTCCGAGTGAAGCGGTTCCGGGAGGCCCTCCGGGAGCGATTAACTCGTTTGCATGAGAAACAGAGATGCCTGTTCACTTCGCGTGGCCATAGCGAAGTGCACGAAAGGATTTTTCCAATTCACGATTTCTAACCGATGATGAGTCGAATTGCAAAAATCGTGTTTCTGTAATCCGTTTCATTTGACGTCGATCAAAATAAAAGGGAAATTAAATGACATTTTTCAAATCTTCTCGTGATATAAATATCGTAAATTACGAATTAATGACGTAAGTTTTATGATAGGCTAAACGAAGCTTACGACATTATTAATCGCTCCCGTATGAAAGAAAGATTTGGTAATAAGTTAAAAATTTGGTTAATATTTGCCTGCTTAATACTTGATTATCGTAATCAAATAGTTTAGTTTCGTGTATACAATACTGTAGTTCCGTATATTGTATATTTAATATACGGAACTATATTATATTTAGTTGCAGTTGGAATAGAGCAAGCAAACAAATGTTTGATTCAACAAATGGGGTTGTTTAGTTTCTTAAATAATAAGTTAATTTCTTAAATAATAAATATCTTTACGTCAAATAATGTATTTCTTTTGCATTTTTTACTCAAACATTACAATGGTTGTTATAGGCGATAAATTATTTGAAAGAAGCAACACCATATTAGAAAAATATTAAAGAACTTTCTTTGTTCCGGTGGAACAATATTTAGTATATAATGAAATAAATTTTTTCTTCATTGAAAACGAAATATTATATATTTCCTCTAAATAATATACAGTTTTCTTTATCAAACAACATGGTTTAATCTAACGAAACAACATTTTCATTCAAGTAATAAAATATTTGATATTAAATTATATTATTTATATTAAACAGACCCAAATAAAAAAATAGTGTATTAAATCCAAAGAAATCCTTTTCTCTATGTACTTTTGCGTCTCGACGCGTGCTTTCTTACTCTCACCGTTCCGTTGACGTAAATGTATTAATCGCTAGTAATTATGATCGATCGAACCCGGCGACCGATATTTTAAAATAACCGAAATATTTATTATTCATGTCCCCCGTGTGTGTGTGTGTGTGTGTGTGTGTGTGTAATAAATATATAAAGAAGACGAATATCCTCACCTCCAAAGCGTCCACCATGATATTCTTGAGCTCATCGAGACAACGATTTATTCGCGCGCGTCTCTTCCTTTCCAAAAGCGGCTTCGTTATCTGCCATTGAACACACGTTATATTTTATTAATCAATATACCGCGACAGCTGCCGCGCTTCGGCCGGCGAAACTTTCTTCGCACCTCGGCCCACCGTCGCACGACTTCGTTCTCGATCGTCAATCACAACATAAATTACTAATTTACGACGCGGCTGGGACAGGAGAATCGAACGTCGACGCGTACGATCGACGTGACGGAATGAACGGAAAGTAATAATCGTGTACGGCCGTGCCGTCTCCTTATTTATCCTTTCATCTCGCCTTAATTCGCCGGGGGAAATCTTTGACCCATGAATGAACGTGGCGCGCGAGAAATCAAGTCTTGTTTTGTTTCAGCGCGAGATGGTCGGATGATGATTTAGCGTCAATTAGCGACCGCATCGCGCGTATGCTCGTATCGATTACGTTTTCCTCGGCGGTTAAGTCGCGAGGATACACGGATACAAATTTATGCCGTGTGCCGGCAGGTGTTGGGTCGTCGTCGTTGTCGACGGACGGAAAATGAAACATCGTTGCCGATGAAAGAAGCAAAGCTAAGAGCAAAAGCGCGTTTGATTTAAACACTTTGCCGATTGCGACCAGCGGTGGCCAAGTGTGGCGGGAAACGAACGTGCATGCCGGCACGCTACTACTCGTATGTCCTGCGAATCTTTCGCAAGGTTAAATAAATTTCCAAGTGACGGGGGTAAATTCAGGCCCAGCTGCGCAGAAAAAAAAAACTACTGTTCAAGCGATATTTACTTGATCCGAGTAAAATGGTCGTTCCAATACCCCTTGGCAAATATTTACTAAGAATAGAAATATAATTGATCATATGCACATTTCCTTCGTATAAGTAGATATTTACTTGTATGTGTTAAGACAATTGCGACAGGTGTATTGAAAATTAGTAATATTTGGAATGTTAGAATTTATTTTTAGATAATATTCACCGGTCCAGAAAAATCAAAATTTTCAATCATTAGGTTTTATCACACAATGGATAAGAAATACAATATAATTCTAGTTATAGTTTTTTTAATTGACTTTTTTGTTAATTTTTTCATATATTTTTTTCGGTTCCCTTTCCAAGGATAGAAAAATTCGTTTAGAAAAATTCACGTGTGTTCGGTTAAAACCCGCAATATTTACTTCTTTCCGTAGAGAAGATAATTGCGTGCGCTTCACTGAAGTTAAATGAAATTAATATGTTATATATTAAGCAATAACATTACTTTCAAAAATTACTTTCAAAAAATTACAGCCAAAAACATTTTGAACAAATATGTAATATATAATATATAATAATATTATTATACCTTATCATTTAACTTCAGTTAGGTGTCAGTTAAGTGTACGCAATAACTTTCTTTACGGAAAATAGTTAATGTAACAGGTACTGACCGAACAAACATAAATATTTCTAAACAAATTTGTCTATCCTTAAAGAAAAAAACCGAGAAAATTCACAGGAAAAGAAAACAGGTTTTTTCGAGCCTTCAAAACTCTCATTCTAGTAAATGTTCTTTTAAATTTCGAACCATTTTACATTTTCACTCAGTAATTCATTTACAAATTAAAATATCACTGCGTTCAGGTAAGTACTTAATATACAGGAGCTATTAAAATACAAAATATACAAGCTATTAAATTGATAGAAGTGTTACTCGATTTAAGAATGAGTTGAGAAACAAGTAATTACGTTTACTTAATTCTAGCACTTTTTCCCATCTGCACGCAAGAACACGCGAATATTCAAATCACGCCTGGAGAGAAGTTCCGATCCGTTCTGTTCGAGCCTCAATCAGCCCCAAAAATCAGGCGAGATTGCAATCGGGAGGATAAATGGTAGCTCGGCTTGGTAATGCAAACTTCAACTCGCGTGAGAACTTTTAGCTCTGTTTGAAACGTGTAATGTGCAGCTGCGCAAACTTGTTACTCAGTCTTTCGCAAGGCGCGCGCGCGTATATAATTACATATTGATTATTTCAAGCAATATACTTCGACATATAAATATATAATATACAATTATCTATTAATTTTTAATTTACGAAATGACCGTGTAAAAGAATAGAATCTATTATTAGCTGTTTGTGCTGAAGCATATCGAATGCGCTACAAGGAAAATGAATAAATTAATCGAGCTGCCTGTTAATTCGCACAAATAAGTAAAAGTTTTTGCTCGAGAGGCCTATGACGGTGCGCAATGTAAAATCTAACTGTAAAATAACAGTGTGAAAATATATTATCTCTTTGTCCACGGCGATATTTCTCAGGACAGGAGTGGTAAACAAAAATAATTAAGAGATTCATTTCGAACAATTAATCGGGGAATCGAGGGTCGTTTTCGATACGTTAGGGAAAGGGTAGCGATTCACGAATGCCCGACAAGTTCCGGCTTGTGTAGCGACACCGTCGAAACGATGCCAATTGTATCACCTTCTCGTCAAACTTGACATTGCGCACTATCACCCGCGTTCGTGCGAGTCCGTCACCGACTCGACCGCGATATTCGCAATACCTTCTTGTATTGATACGTTCTCGAAACCGGATGAGGATAATCGTACGACATCGCGGCGGCGGAGGAAATCATAGCTCGGCGCGAAGGAGGGAAACGACCACGCGGTCTGTAAGCTCGGGAATCGCACCGGCGTGCGAAACACTCGTAAAACAAGCAAAATATTGCAAACAATCGGCCCGAGGTGAAATGACGAGCGAAGCGCGAAAATCGCCGGGGCGACGCGCGCGCGCGTTCGAGCACGTTGTCGGACGGAAATTCGCGATTATCACGCCGGACTCGGCCCGACAGCCACGACGTTTCCAGCCACGACGTTTTACATTTCACTGTATCTCCGCATCCGGAATATGGAAATATATGGATCAAGCGTATCGGACACGCGGCCTGACATTAGTAGACCCACACAAGCGAGCGCACTTGCTGGAGTCTCTACACCAACTGACTCGATGCTCTCCGCTGCCATTCCGACACAGGCTACCCTCACCAGTTTCGAACCCTCCGGAGAGAGACTACTTTGGATAGGAAGGTCGCTCCAAATGGTTCGTTGCAGCTACACCGCGCGCACCGTTCAAGCGATAGGGTAACCGAGAGACGAGCGATCACACACACGCGACAATAATTCCGGCCGATAGTATTTCAAATCGATGGATCCCACCCGCTACGGAAAATCCCCCGTTCGTCTCCTCGACGACGATCTCGAGGGAATCCCCGGTGACAGTGGCTGCTTTTGCGCGCGAGATCTCGCGACGACAAACTCGAAATTTTCGTTCCAGTCTATTTAGTTCAGCATGAAATCTTTCAAAGTCTTCCATTGTTCTCTTTTGATGCTACTAGTGAGAAGTTATTTCCGTCTTCTCCGCTTCAAGATTTCATGTAGAACTAAGAATACTGAAAAGTCCATTTGGTTAACTGCAATAAAATTCAGTTGGGATATGCTCGAACAAATGTTTCGGTTTATGAGAAGAGTGAAAAAAGTTCGGTTTCGGAGAACGATAGCTTCGGTTCAAAGAAATGGATTTTGACTCTCACAACCGAAACATTTGTTCGAGCATATCCTAAAGAAATTTCAAGACTTAATGTAGGAGAAAAATTTCGACTCGGGAAGAGACAGTCCGAAAATCCCGACGACCGAAAAGACCGACGGAAATCACTTCCCTCCTGTAGTTTTTCGAATAATTTCTCTGTTGTCCGGTCGATCTTGGATCGTATTTATTCGTCGAGCGACACGAAGTACGCGACTGAAGGTACAAATACGAAATTGAACGCGGTGCCGTTCAAGTCGCGCAGCACGATAATTAATAGCCTGCGTGGCGAACGGCATTTGATTACCAATTTCGCAGGCGAGCCTTCATAGTGCACGCACGCGTCGAATTTGTTTGCAAAATACGGCAACTGCGCCGCGTTTGCTGCGGTGTCCAGGGTAACACGAGCCATCGCGTTCAGTGAAAGCAAGCAACGCGTTCAATCATTCATGCCATTGCCGCGTATCCATCGATAATGGAGCGGAATTACCGTCGTAGGCGCGATCACGTTACGTTCGCCACGTGTTGTTTCCTTCCGGTAAATATCGCGCGCGATTGTTTCAAATTGCCCCGACGGTCTCGTACACTGATAGAAAATTATCGTTATTTCCCCGATGCCAGCCGTACCTACTTTTTTATTTCAACCATGAAAATTTTAGTAAATGTTATTATAGTGTCAATGATGATAAACAAATGATGATAAATGATGATAATCTTATGTACATATTGCTGTTATTGTAAGATATGGCTCGCACCGAAAATAACTATAATTTTGTATCAGTGTGTGGCTTCACACAGTATTCCGTTTGTCGTGAAAATTCGTTCCAAAAAGGTTATTAGATGCGCGAAGAAACTTGATACTCGTCGTGAAGACCGTAAATTTGAAAATCGTATATTGATATTTATATATAAACGTATATATAATATTATAGATAATCGTATATTGATATAAATCGTATATTGATATTTGAAAAGAAATATAGATAGATATTTAGTCTCTAAAGTGCAATGTATTAACACTGAGAAGCAGTCAATAGTCACTAATGATCGTTGATAGTTGTAAGTATAGCACTGCAAATCAGTAAAATTTCGTTGCAAAAGTCCGTTAATGTAACTGTTTCCATCGAAGAAATCTAACTAAAATAGTAAGAGAGTTATTATTTATTACTTCCTTTTTATTATCTTAACGCCACTCTCAAGGTATTGTCAATGATTTTGTTTCAAATATTCTTAGTCGCATTTAATTAATTTAATTTATATCGCATTTGAAAAATACACTTATTCGAACTTGAAACCTCTACACTGGGGAAGGAAGACTTAAAAATTTATTTGTGAAATATAAGATTTATTTCACGGAAATAAACGTTTATTTTAAATGTGAAATAAAATTCTATTCCTAGCAAACGAACCAATTAATAAGAAAATTTAAGTATATTTCACAAAAATATATATTTCATCGTCGTAGTCCCAACCAATATATTACATAAAATTAACGAATATTCACTGATTATCGGTAGAACATCGTCTCACTGATCCAACTTAAGAGAGTAAATTGGTAATACGGACGAGGAAGCGATAATAATAAGAAACCGAGAGGAAAATGATTCCTGAGTTTTCACATCGCTATAACACGTCGGTCGCACTTGTGACGCTCCGTAATTAATAATTACGGGAGGAATAATATCTCTTCGGCGAACGTCGCTCTTATGCGCGCGTATATCGCGACCCGCGTGACGCTCCACAGCTCGGCGATACTGAAAAGGCGGCATTGTGGTGCGACTTCGAGGAGCGCGTCACGTAGTCGGGATTTCGGCGGTCTCTCGGGACGATAAGCCCCGGGTTCATTAAGATTATCTCCTACGTGTACTGAAGAGTCGCCAGATGCTTCGGGAGCTGCAGACGCGCCGACTGCGTTCGCGCACTCGGCACCCTCTCCTCCCGTATCCACCTTATCGCTGGTGTCAACGAGGAAATTTTGACGGAGATGATCATCGTCTTTTGCGTTACATATTCGGACGATCGGCCCATGGCAGCGGTTGGAAGAAACCCGAGGTGCTCGATGGCGGATGAAGGATATCTCGTGTCGCAGATAAACCCGGCGCTTGACACATCGCGATTGTGCCCGTCGACGGTTCCCAGCCGCGCGGCGTCTTCCCGGGGCCGAGAGTGTAGAGTGCCACGTGCTGTTGCTGCGTCTCTTTCGGAGCTCGCCTTTCTCCGATTAATCTCGACACGTTCGCCATCACCGGCGTTCATCTTCACCCGGCGAACCGTCCGTCAGAGTTTATTTTTTGCTCGTCCTTTTTATGTCATTGTGCAAAACATGCTTAATTTGTTTGTGCAGATACAGAGTGAAAAATCTTTGTCGAACACGACGCCGATCTCTCGTGAAAATTGGCGCGTCACACGTGCGCGCGACACGCACGTGGCGAACGTGCCGAATTAATCGCGAGTGTTCGCGTTTAACGCCGATGGTAACATGTTAGGCCCACCAGGCCTACACGCGTTTTCTTCCGTTTTCCACCCCTCTTCTTGTTTCGTCGTATTTAAATAAACGTTTATTTCTGCGACGTAAACCTTATATCTCACGAATCAATTTCCATGTTCTTTCTCTCTCAGTGCAGGGGTTTCGAGTTCGAGCCCTGAGCGTATTTTTTCAATGCGACATAAATGAAATCCACCAACTCTCTCAGGATTAATCAGGAGGATTTAATTCGGGAGGGTCTCCACGCGGGGGATTTTACCTGTCGACATAGTCTTCGTTAACATTGTTACCGAACGAATGATACTCGATTCGATGTGACGCGATCGGGTTTAATCGCGTCGCGGCTACGTCACCGACCCGATCATCCGCGCACTGTCATTCACGAAGCGTGCAGACGCCACCGACGCATTAAAATCCGACACGAGTCGTAAACATTCGCACGCTTCGCGTAACGGCCGGGCACAGGCGATACGGCAGAGGCGATAACCGCGCGGCTTGATAACGGCGCGACGATATTGCACGAGAGTGCCGAGCCTCAACGTCGGGTGACATCAACTAATTATTATTTTCCTTCCTGGTAGTCCGCGACCGGCGACTCTCTCTCTCTCCCCCTCTTTCTCTCTTTCCTTCTTGCCTCTTCTCTTCTGCTCTCCATTCGCCGACAGACACATGAGAACTGTGAGACTCGTGCGCGACGAACACGAGGCGCGCGATGATCGATGAGGAGGAATAAATAAAAACTTCCGCGCGCGGTCGCGAAGCCAAAGAACTTCCTTGAACGATATTCCACCGGACGCGATCAATCCTTCTCGAGATTATCTCTCTCTCTCTCTCTGTTATCCAAGATTTCAAATCAAACGTAAAGTCTTGCCGACGACTTTTCCGACGAAGGACATTATATGCCTTACGACAATATCTTCTTAAATAGATATGGTTTTCTTAAGTAAAACTGCCGCTTATTTGGTTTAAACTAAAGAGAGGATTTAAAGGTCTTTAGGAGCAAAGCACGGATTTTTTATTATTTTAAATATTAATATTGTTAGTATGAATATGTATTGATATTTAATGAGATACTCGGTTTTCTAGCGGCGAGTAGTTTACAAAGATAAACCAATAAAAATTGGCATTAAATTTAATAAATGTAAATAATTCGAATATTCTTGGCCTCATAAACCGCAATAGAGCCAAAAAAGGATATGATGCTTGAATGCGTACGTCTGGATTATTCTCCGGCACACCTGCATAGCATACCTGTAAAGAATTTTGAAGTGCCAAGCGTAGGAGAGAGATCGGGTCTAATTGGTTAAAGGGATAAGTTGGCTAATTGATTATTTCTGTTGTTTTCTAACAGGTTACAGAATACAGCAAGTAGGGATTTCACAAGCATCTATGATATTTTTGAAATCTCTGCTCGATTCTCTGCTTCTCTTCTAGTTAACTGGACCCCCCGGTCTCCCCCTAAAAGATTTGGTAATAAATATGAAAATATGGCGAATATCTCGCAACCAAATATTGGATTACCGCAACCAAATAAGTACCATATATTGTATATTAGTACACGAGACTAAATTATTTCGTTGCAATAATTAAACAATTTGGTGGAGAAATATTCTATCGAAAAATTCGCACTCGGCTCCCGAAGGCAACGAAATTCTTCCTCCGAGATACGACTTTCTTTCTCATCGCCGTCCTTACGAAATTGCGCACGATTTGCCGGCTTCCCAGCTCGCGCGAGATCAGCTGACTCGATGCCTTCATCGCGCGCGTTTCTCAGCCTTCCTTATTTCCCACGCACGTGGTGCAAAATCGCGTTCCACCCTTGCGGGCCCGCCGCGCGCTGTTTACGACCGCCGATCCGCGCGGTCTTCTTCGCGTGCAACGCAAAAAGAGGTAGCCTGGCTCGCCTTCCT